ATATATATATATATATATATATATATATATATATATATATATATATAAACTGTTTGTTGAGTTAATTTGCAGGTTTGCGAATCCTATACTACCTAATAAAGATTAAGTGCAGTCACATCTGAGCAATCTTTAGCAAGAAAGATAATGTTTTTATGGGAACGGTCTAAATATGTGATTCTCCTTAACATAAATTACTGTAAATTTATGTTTTTTAATGACTTAAGAATGATTTTAAATTAAACACTCAGTATTACTTCAATAAGTTAAAGTTTTGCTTATAGTTTTTTTGATGTACAGAACTTTAAAATTATATATATATTTTTTTTTTTCATCAACAAAGACAGTGCGCAGACCGGGATTATAAAACTCATCTTTCTGTGTAATTGACGCGATTCTGTTGGTTCATACCAGGTTCGACCACCTGGTGGCGATAGAGCGCAGCGGACGGGCTTCAGATGGAAATTATTACAACATGAGAGGAATAAACATCAAACATCTGGTGGATCCCATTGATGATTTGTTTATTGCTGCAAAGAAAATACGAGGGATTACAACAATAGGTGTGGAATAATTTTGTTTTAGGTTAGAATTGTAGTTTTTTTGTTTGTTTGTTTATTTCAGGTTATTTACAAAGCACCAATTCACAGCAAACGTCATCTCAGGGTACTACAAAAATATCCACACACATTACAAAATGCCACATAGTAAAAATGATCTATCTAAGGAGTTTAAGACTAAAAATAAAAGTCTTTAGGTCTCCGTAGTAGCTGAGAGTCGTCCTCAATATACACTCCGAGTGACTTCTCACAGATCATGCATGACTTATTGTCAAAGCTTGACCAAAGGGCTAGAATACTCCGTCATTTCTGAACTTATTTAGTCTAAAACACTAGCATTAAAGGCAGCAGGTGATATACACACCTTCAAGGAACGCTAGAGCTTTTTATTTTTAAAGAATTACTCACCCCAGAGACTTTAAAGTGAGATTGTTTGAGATGAAAAAATGCATAATGAAGTTTGTGTTTCCTGTATGGATCAGAATTACTTAAAGCACCAAGTTTCAGTCCTAAACTTGGATTTTTGTACACAAAGTTGCAAACTACACACCATAAGCATCATTTTATCTTTTTATGTGATTTAGTTGAGCACAGGCAGAATCAACCACTAAAAATTCTAATACTAATAATCAAAACAAGGCATTTTTGACCCAAAGCATGAGTTCTTTAAGGTAAAACCATCTAAAGTTACGTATTTTACTCAATCTGTTAATTTTGAAACAAAGATTGGAGTGGTATGTTTTACTCTTCCTCTCTACAGGAATCGGCGATGGTGGTAACGAGCTGGGGATGGGTAAAGTGAAGGAGAAGGTGAAGAGCCTGATGCCCAAAGGAGATCTGGTAGCCTGTGATGTTCCTGCCGACTTCGCCATCACCGCCGGTACGAGTTCACTCTGTTTCACTGAACGGAGAAAGTTTTCAAAGCAGCAGAGAAAAACTCTGTTTCTCGTCGTAGGCTTCCACCTTCAGGTGTTCTGGGTGACGACTGCTTTGTCTAGACAAGTGGAGATGCAAGACAAAGCTGAAACTGACTATAACAATAAAACGGACGAAATGAAGGGAATTAAACCATGTGTAAAAGTAATTCTGCCTCAACGAATGACTGATGATCTTATTTAGAGATCAAACTTTGTGGAGGATCCTATTTTTGTGGCCTTCAGCTTCATAACCACATTTTACATTTAGGCGCAATGTTTGCCTCCGTCTTTGGCTTCTTTTTTGTTTTAGGATTAATTGATCGTTTTAGTTTGTTTTGTTTGTTTGTTTCAGTCCAGAACGTCTAATTTTTTGTTTTGATGAGAAGAATAAAATAATAATTTAACTGTACCTGTGACACAGTGAAGTGCTGGAAACGACGTTCACCTTGAAATTTCTTGAAAAGTGGATCTTTACTTTTAAAAGTGTAAGAACGTTCTAAATACAAAAAGAAAAATACTTTGATTCAAACAAGAACAAATTTTCAAATCTTGATTTTAACCATGGCAGCACGGTGGCGCAACTGGTAGAGCTGCTGCCTCTCAGCGAGCAGGTCCCTGGTTCAAACCCCGGTCCAGGGGCCTTTCTGGGTGGAGTTTGCATGTTCTCTCCGTGCATGCGTGGGTTTTCTCCGGGTACTCCGGTTTCCTCCCACAGTCCAAAAACATGCATGTTAGGCTGATTGGTAACTCTAAATTGTCCCTAGGTGTGAGTGAGAGAGTGAATGGTTGTTTGTCTCGTTTGTCTCTATGTGTCCCTGTGATGGACTTGCGACCCGTCCAGGGTGTACCCCGCCCCTCGCACAGTGATTGCTGGACATGGGCACCAGCGACCCCCGTGACCCAAAAATGGAATAAACGGGTAAAGATAATGGATGGATGGATGGATTTTAACCATTTAAAACTTTCCCCTTTTTTAAACTGGTTTATTCTTATCAATTTATTATGTTTTTTATTTTGCCCTTGTAACTGTTGCATCTTTGTTGTGCGGCATTTTAATTATCTTTTCAAGTTTATTTATTTTATTTTTTAAGATGAAACTGACATTAACATTGTCCCTGTCTTCCTTCTTGTCCCATCCTGGTTCAGGAGTGTCCAACTGGGGAGGATACGCTGTGGCCTGTGGGCTCTACCTGCTGCACACCTGCCCCACCCACCAGCGTTACCTGAAGAAAGGACTCGGACTGGAGTTTGTCGACTCCAACGAGCAGCAGCAGGACTGGAGGACCAACCTGCCGTCTGTGCAGAAGGTAACACAAACATTTAAAAAAAAACTTGTCTTAGAAGAAGCTTCCTCAGATTATTCCTAATGGTGATCAGAATTTTATATGAGTCAAAATGTAATTAATTTCAATTTAAACCATAATGGGATGTATGAAATTCAGATGTATAGATATATTTCTGCTGGGGGGCTGTTTTCTTGTTGGTAAAATTCAGAGGAAATTGTCAAAACATGTTTACAAAAAAAAAAGACTGATGTCAATTTTCCTTTTTAGTTGTTTTATGTTGGTTCGTTCATATATTATATGAACAAACGTCATCAAATATTCACCCTAACCTAAGACTTATATTGAATTTTTTATTTTTTTTCCACACAAACGCACCTAAATAAGTCTAGTTTTATTTAGGGAAACCAACTAGATCAGTATTTTTGCTTCAAAAGAAGAAAGAATCACCTGCTCCTCCATTGTGTCAGATTTAAGCACAGTGAGAAATAATTCAAAAAGTTCACGACAAAAACTGAAGAACACAGTGAATAAATCACAAACTGACTTGTCATACAGTTATTAAAGATAACCTGAATAAAAAAATATAAAAATAACAAATTAAACCTAAAACAACACAGTTTAAAACCCAAGCTAAAACCTCCCTGGTTCCCATCAACAGCATCAAAACACTCAGATTTACTAACATTCCTATAAAATCCTGACTTGCATTTAATTACCTGAGCATTGTGAAAGATACAAACAGGAACATTTTTCAAATGACTTACATTACTGGTTGTTTTCTGACCAACATGTCAATAAGTTTTAGTGTGGTGAATGTAGAAGTTGAAAAAAAGGAGCTTTGTGATGTCAGCACATTAAAAAGACATAAAGTGCAGCTTTCAAACTCTGCTGTTGTGACTAGTTCTCTTGAAGATGTAAAAAAAAATATTAAAACACTGCCCGCAGCTCGTCGATGAACCTGTGTGATAAAAAGCCGATTCTTTACTTTCAGTTCTGTTGCAATAAACAAACAGCTCTGAGGAGCAGGAATGTGCACGCAGCTTTAAATATTCGTCTCCTCCACCTGAAGAGCTAAAAAAAAACTGCAGATGTTTCGCTCCTTCCATGGAGGCACATCACATGACCACAATAAATCAGTGAGCTTACCTGTCATGGTGAAAAGGCTGCTTAATATTGTAATGTTTACCTGAAAGTTTATTTTAAATACATGAATCCATTTGAGAGACATTTTGCTAACAAACACAAAGTCACACGTTGAAGTCACCTCAACTTTCAGCCATTTCATCGGAGCTTTATTCATAATTATAAGTTTGTTTTTTTAATAAAGCTCAACCTGCTCAGCATCAAACATTGTCAGAAACTTCGGCACGCTTTGTGTTTGTGTGCACCAGGAGGAGTCCTTCCTGTCCACACTGGTGCGTTTCGGAATACGAAGTGGGAAAACTGGGAACCTGGCCATGGAGGTGGATGGTTTGACCTTTCACCCCACGCACTCTGACATGATCGACAGACTGGTGGGGGCGACACTGGACTCTGCGACACAACAACCAGCTCCTCCTGACTGTTACTAAGCTGTCGTCACAAAGCAGCAGAGGATGAAGAAAGAGCTTTGTGTTCGAGATGTTAGAATGCTGCCATTTTTATTTTTTCAGAAAAACACAATCGACTGAAGGAAAATCACTTTTTTTTTCTGCCTCGGAGATGAAAAATTAGGAAAACTGCAACTATTTTAATCACTCAAAATCAAGAAGATCTTACATATTACAATGACACTCAATGATTTTATTATTGTTCTATAACAAAGTGAAGGAATTCAACTTTTTGTCTAAATTTTACTGTAATCATTTTGTTTTATGTTAAATATATTTTTATACATTGAATTGCTGACTAAAGCACTCAAGGGGTAAAAAACATGCAATGTTTCTCTTAAAGAGTGATTGTAGCATTTTAAATTCAGGTATTTAAAACACTTAATTCAGTTTTTACTCATTATTAAAAAAAACTATCTGATGCTTATCAGGTCCTAGTCTGTGAATGTTTCTGTTCAGTGCCCTGAGACAACTCCTGTTGTGACTGGGCGCTAAATAAATAAACTGAATTGAATTGAACTGAACTGAATCGAGGTCTTTAAATTATTTAAATCCAACCTCAGACGGAGAAAAGTACAAATTAAATTACAGTCTCCTTTTTTTTTTAGAATAAATGCAGAATCAGCAAGTGAAAAACTGAGTATTGTTACTCAACTTGCTGCTTTTGAGTATACATGTATAAACACAATGCCAAGCAGGAAGGACATCAGCAATGATCTCTTAAAATCAACTGTTTCTCAATCTTGGAAGGGTGAAAGTTCATCTCCAAATTATCTGGAGTTTATTATTATAGAGAGAAAACAATAACTCACAAGTTGAAGACAGCTGCCCAGCTTCTCTGGAGTGGTCCCAGCAAGTTCACCCCAAAGGTCAGACTGTGCAATGCTCAAAGAAATGGCAAAAAAATAAAATCAAGTGCAGGTTAAAGGTTACAGGTCATGACAGGAAAAGTAGAAAAAGATGGAAAAGGGCAAAGGAAAGCCTCTTCCTTCTGAAAAGAATACAGACTCTGGTTTGTCAAGTTTATCAAAACAAATATCAGAACTTCCAGGACAATGTCCTTCACACCCATAATGCATGAACGCATGTTTGTAGAAAACCAAGTCCAGGATGTCGGCACAAACACACCTCACAATCAGAGTGGACCATGAACTCCTCTGTAGACCAAAGGATTCTAAAGTGAAATGTGGGACAATCGATCCGTAGGCTGATGCTTGGACCAAAGTGGGTCATGATCCAACAGGACAATGACACCAAGCACAATGTAGCCACCACAGACTGGCTCAAAAAGAATCAACGGTCCAGTTAATCCAGAAGCTCGTCCCGACTGAATGCTGCTGTGAGACCTTCAGAGAGCTGAGCAAAAACAAGCTGTGTAAAAAGGAGTGGGCCAAATTCCTCCACAACCATGTGGAATTGATAAATAGCTTGTATTTGAAGGAGGTTCAACAAGCTATTTGATCAAGTAAATAATGGCAAACTAATATTTTATGTGCCATTCTTTGTCTAAACTTACTTGTTACTTTCTTGTATGACTCAGAGAGGGCAAGATAAATTTGTATCCTTTTTTCTTTTGCCCTAAAATCTTCTAAGATGTCAGAATTTAAAGAGAAACCACCACAGGTGAGCACAATCTCTGTACGACAACAGACTTGTGCTACACTAGTAAAATAATGAAAAATATTCTGACCCGTTGTCTCTAATCTGTTTTGTTTTTGTCTGTAAAATCAGGCAGTTTATCTAATTGGGTTTGTGCTATTAAAATTAGAAAACAAGCTTATTGTTTATATTAATGCAATTTAAATTTGATTAAAAAAAATTTCTCTTCAGGGTAAAAGTGAATACATTTATGACCGTCTTGGACAAATATTTAATTTCTTGCAGCAGTTGGAGCAGTGCACCAGCAAGGAAAATGCAAGAAAAATCTTTTTGAATCAGCTAAAATACCTAAACTGTTTTCTGCAGAATGCTGGAAACAAGCCGAAGTTCTAAAACCTGATGGGATTGGAATACAGAAACACAAATGAAGTAGTCGGAAGTCACCATGTGAAGTGCTGTTGTGTTGAGAAGACGTCCGATGGGGACAAATTTGGCAGGAAGATGTTTTCTCTGGAACCGAAACCATCTTCAGTTTTAGATCATCGGAGCAGCAGCTGAGCTTTAAACCCAAACAAGTTTCTAAAGAGGAAAGAAGAAATTTACTGGACAAACATTCTCATTAGTTGTTTGCATCTTGGAAAAAAAAAAAAAAAAAAAAAAGAAATAACTCAAAGTGTGTAGCTCGAAGGCTGGAAAAATAAACCTTGCTTCTGTGTTTTAGCTCGACAGGTTTCTGTTTGTAATTTTCTCAAAGTCACGACGAAGCTCGGAGCGGGAAACGCAGGAAACGTAAACAGCTGTGGTTGGTTTCCCAGGCGGAGTTTGAAAACAGTTTTCAGCTGCTGTGGCTGCGGTAACAGGAACTGATCAGACTGATCTGAAGGCTTTCCGAGGGTATATTTAGTGACGTGTTGGAGGACGTGAAAGGATGTTATTTCTCCTGAACCACAGGCAGCCTGCAGAATACCACAGTCCTCTCCTGCACAGGGCTGGGTTGTAAAATCTTTCTTTTCAAGTCCTAGTTTTTGTGGTTGTTCTTCGCGTTTACACTTCGGTTTCTGAAAACTCACGGCTTTAACGTTTTTTCATCCTTCTCGATCTTGTCTGCAGTCACATGAATTTATGACAAAATTTACGGTCACTTCCAGAAAGACTCTTAGGTTGAAGCCTGCTCTTATGGTAAATCAAGAAATAGGCTGTAAACAAACAATGCTATATATATATTGCGCTGCTTGAGATTTTCAGAGCAATCTATTTTGATCTGATTTTGTTTCTGCAAGCCGAAGAACCCCCTCCAAAACTTCAGTCACAGTTCTCAAAAGCTTGCATCTGTATCTAAAGATAATTTGTCAGGGTTTATATTTGTGACGGTTTTTCTCCAGGAAAAAAGGGACTTCCTGTTGAATTCATAAAGTCTCAGAGAAGTGTTAATGAAGCTTTAACTGTGAGGTTTGTAACTATTTATTTGTTACTCGTTTTTTTTTTTTCCTGTACAGTATTTTAACGGGTTATTTGCTGTTTGGAGCAACTTTCTGTAAGAAATCAGAGCAAGGACGTTGACTGACGGTGAACAGCTCTAAATAGGTTTAAATCATATTTATCTGATAGATTCCAGTATAATGTAAATAATGAATCTTCTTCATACACCAAAGTTAGTCATGGAGTTCCTCAGGGTTCAGTGCTTGGACCAATACTCTTTACCTTATACATGCTTTCATTAGGTAAAGTTATTAAACAGCATGGGATAAATTTTCATTGTTATGCTGATATTTGTCCATGAAACCCAATGAATCCAATCAGCTACTTAGACTACAAGCATGTCTTAAAGACATAAAAACCTGGATGACCCTAAATTTTTTGCTTTTAAACTCAGACAAGACTGAGGTTTTAGTTTTTGGACCTGAGCATCTTATGAATTAACTTTTCAGCCTTCCGCCCTTCTTGGATAGCATTAATCTGGCCTCCAGCTCTAATGTTAAAAATCTTGGTGTTATTTTTGATCAGGACATGTCTTTTATCCCCCACATTAAAAACGTTACTAGAACCACCTTCTTCCACCTGCGTAATATCTCTAACATTAGAAACATCTGATCTAAAAATTATGCAGAAAAACTGGTTCATGCATTTGTCACGTCCAGACTGGACTATTGCACTGGTTTATTATCTGGGTGTCCAAATACTTCTTTAAAAAGTCTTCAGTTGATCCAAAATGCTGCTGCCAGAGTCTTAAATGGAGTTAGTGGGAGAGATCATCTCTCTCCAGTTTTAGTTTCTCTCCACTGGCTCCCTGTCAAATCCAGAATTGAATTCAAAATCTTACTTCCAACCTACAAAGCCCTCAACAACCTAGCTCTACCTTATATTCGAGATCTTATTGTTCCATATTTTCCTAACAGAGCACTTCATTCTCAGACTGCAGGCTTACTTGCGGTTCCTAGAGTTTCCAAAATGGGAGAAGATCTTTCAGTTATCAGGCTCCTCTCTTGTGGAACCAACTTCCACTTTCTGTCCGTGAGGCTGACACATTGTCCCGTTTTAAGACTTTCCTTTTTGATAAATCCTATAGTTAGGGTTGTCTTGTTATGCTGCTGTAGACTTAGACTACTGGAGGACAAGCTGACCTCGTTTCTTGAAGTGAATTGTTAAAATTGAATAGTTTTCATTTGATACTATTTCTGTCTTAACATGATTCTCAACCTGCCATTGTGTATCTGTTCCTCTCAAACCCAGCCGGTCGAAGCAGATGGCCGCTTGTCCTGAGCCTGGTTCTGCTAAAGGTTTCTTCCTCATGAGGGAGTTTTTCCTTTCCACTGTTGCCTTCATGCTTGCTCAAGATGAGAGTTCTGTCATGGAGTTAACTTCAAAGCAGTCTGCTCCTCAGATAAATAGTGTTAACTTACTTTTTAATGTATATGAATGTTTCTGTTCAGTGCCCTGAGATGACTTCTGTTGTGACTTGGTGCTGTAGAAATAAACTGAATTGAATTTCCAGTTTCTAAAATGTTATTTTGCTGTGAGCTATGCAAACGATTGGTTTAAGGCAAAAAAAAAAAAAAAAAAACTCCTTAAACGTCAGCACTTCTGTAGATCCATCACATCTCCTCATGTTTAGCAAACATAATGTCATCCTTTCTGTTTTATTTCCTTCACTGTTTTGTTTACAACAGGAACATCTCGATGAATACATAACCACTTTGTTTTCTTCAAAACAACAGGAATTTTTTTACTGGGAAAATAAATAAAATAAAAGTTTTATTACGAGGAGAAGGCTTCAGTTTCAGCCGTATTGTCACTGTTCTTCAGTTGGGACATTTTAGCCTCAGTTTATCACAACTTCCTGTTAGCAGAATCAGCCAAGATTAATAACCAAACTCGTTACAATCACCCAGAGATCACACACAGATCTCACAATACACACTCCCACAGTGATCCATCATCCCACAGACACATTTAAACCCACAAACACACACTTATAAGATCTTAAATCCCTCCTGGGGGAAATATTCTGATATGCAAATAAATACAGCGACGAAACGGTCTTGTCCTCGCACACATTTTCA